AAAAAAAAAATCCGAGGTTGACTCAGGTGTCAGCAGCTGCTGTGGTCAGTGGATAAAAGGATTATCGTCCTGTCCTGCAGTCACATGCAGAGGCCGCTCCATGTCCAGCAGGTCAGCAGTAAATCAGACTCAGGCCTGTGTCTGCTGCCCCAGACTCCATGACCTCTGACCTTCACTAGCTGCTTGAACTCTAACCCTTGTAAATGGACCAAAGGGGAAGAAGACCATCTGACAGCCATATGGGCTCTGCTGTAGAGCAGGAAATAATGAAGTTCGAAGCAAAACCACCAACCATCCAAAGGAATGTTGTATTTGTCCCCACATCTGTCCCCTGTGGATTCACTGTTACATCAGGGAAAATTATGTTTTAACAGAGTTTATCCCCATTCACTCTGACTTTACTTCTGTGTCCAGGGGTCGTCAGACATTGCGGGTGAGGGAGCATAAAGTGTTGGGTCCGTATGTGGATGGTTTGTCTCGACTGGCTGTGGCGTGCTATAAGGTAAAAGCAGCTTTTACGTTCAGGTTTTTACGGTTGATTGATCACCAAAATTATACAACTATACAGCTGGATTTTGTAACTGTAGTGATTTACAAACAAGGATGTTCCTTTTCAGTCCAGTCTGTACATTGATTCAAAATGATAATAAATTGTATTTTTCTTGTTATGTTCCTTTTCAGTCCAGTCTGTACATGGATTCAAAATAATACATTTTATTTTTTTCTCTTTCCTTCAGGACATTGAGTCTCTCATGTCGGAGGGGAACAAATCTCGAACCGTAGCAGCCACCAACATGAATGAAGAGAGCAGTCGATCGCATGCCGTCTTCAACATCATCCTCACACACACACTCAAGGACCTGAAGTCTGGGGTAAGATGAGTATCAAAAACCTAGTGGCAGCAATTGATTATTTGAATTGAATTTCTCATCTTCCTTTCAGACCAGAGTCTGTCTCTTTCTCTCCTTCTCTCTGTCTCTCTCTGCTCCACCATCAATCATCTTTAAATGTCCACCAGATAATCGACTGTTTAACGGCCTCCTATAGGAGTGGAGCCCTCACTCGCCGCAGGTGGTAGTTGACTGAGGGGGAGGGGGCACTGCTTGGTGATCCCTCAGTTGTTATTGAAAGGAGCGCGGTGCTTCTGCTGAATGATTTGTTGTGCTCCGCTCCTGCAGACACACAGAGTGTGGAGTACAATGGCTGTGACACCTGCACTCAGGGGGCGGAGCCAAGAATAGCAGTGGTTGTTACTGCCTAAATAAAACATGATGTTCCTGCTGCCGTTGGTGGCATGAAGTTATCTGTTGCTATTAATGTCAAGCATTCTGTATGTTTGCATTAGCGATTAGCAGGATTTAAAATAGGAAAAAAAAACAATCCAACCAAGCAACATACTGTATTTCTCTTTTTAATTTCTGTCTGGTCAGAATGTTATTCCACCCCTCAGAAACCAGGGAGTTCAGCTTTTTTTTTTTTTTTTTTTCAAATCCTTGTGCATATTCACCTGCCATCCAAGCTGCCCTGTGGTTTTTAAAACTCTAAAGATTAAGATTTGTTGGGGTTTTTTGCTAATGATATGTATTTTCCTTTGAAAACTCCACGTTGGTCTTGAAGTAAGCACAGACACACACACAAGGACCTTTGAAAAACAGTGAGACTGTTGCCAGTATTCACTTACTGAGCTCAGCTGTAAAGGAGCGGCTCCGATGACACTTTTAGTTTCAGTTTCCTCTCGTCATCAGTCTTAAAAAGACACGCTCACCACTTTCACAATCAATGTTTTCTGGTGGCGGTTTACTGAAGCTAAGCAAACAACTGCAGAGAAGAAGAAAAAAAATAGCTTGAACTTTACACCAACAAACACATGTCCAGTGAGTCTGAATGGTTTATATAAGCTAAAAAAAAAAAATCAAGGTCAGTTATGATAGAAAACCTTAAACAATAATGTGTTTTCAGATCTGTTTTTTTGCGAGTTTGATCAGTGTTGTTGTGATGTTAGCCCTGCAGGTGTTGTGTTTTCTGTTGATCCTGGATCTATATATGTTAATTCAGTGCAGTTAGCAGTTGGCAGTTCTAAATCAATGAGCGACTCTGTTGACCGATGACATCATTCTGCCCGTCTGACCGGGGTTCTTAAAAAGGAGACATAAATGAATCATTCTCCAGCTTCACTGACTCACTTGTCTCCTCCTGCTCCTTGCTCCTCCGCTCCCTTTATCTAAGATGAACATCCACCAGGGAGTGCTGTTAATAATTCACAGGCATGACTGACTTTGTCAGCTGATACAGCAGGCTGCACTGTTATCAAGGAACTCCCACAGTCAGTCACAGGGAAGATCTCCAGTCACTTACTGAGTCAGACAGTCAATCAGTTGCACTGTGAATTCATCAGCCAACATGTTCAGTCAGGGAGACGACCACTGAGCTGAACATGTTCTGTACTTAAACAAATTGAATTAAAAAAATACTTACTTCATCGCTTAAAAATGGGAACAAGATCTTCCTTTTTGTTCAATCACATTATTATATATTTTTTATATTTTTTCATCCTTCTAAATTCAAGAGAAAAATAAACACAAAGACTAACTTGTTTTGAACAAACAACGGTGCTGTATGTTATATAATTGCAGTGACAGTTTGACGCATGACGTGACTGTTAGTAATGTATGGAGGAAACAGGAGAACAATTAACCAAAGGTGTTACATCTGGAGAAATACATTTTTTAAAACAATAGTAGATCAGTAGACTAAACATATTTTTCTAAGAACATTCATGCTTTAGTTCAGCAAGAATGTATTTGCTTATTGCATTGAAATACTAATTTGGAAATTTAGTAAAAATTGTAGCTTAAGGTAGTGAGTTTATACTGTATGTATAATGTATAATTTGTAAAAGATAAATAATTGGAGTAGTTGAATCAAGGTTTAGTCCAGTGATACCACGTTGACATTTATTGCTATTGCTTCAAATCTCCACTGAACTATAATTATAATTCCTATAATAAATCATACAAAACATAAACTTCCCCACTTAGACAAACCAGGACCAGTAAATGAAGAGGTCAGAGTGACGCCTTTATTATCAATACTGATATCAATTAAATATTATCAGGGATCGTAGCACCTATTTAACACTTCGTGTTCTATGGACTGAGCTGAAGTGAAGAGAACACTTTTTTGGGACCAAACTTAAATATTATCAGGGATCGTAGCACCTCTTTAACACTTCGTGTTCTGTGGACTGAGCTGAAGTGAAGAGGACATCACTTTTTTGGGGTCAAAACCCTCACTAGTTTTCTGTGGTTCTGTGTCATTTTATGTAATTATAGCTAGTCCTGAATAATTCAAATTGTTTCAATTTTTTTTTTTTTTTGGTCTCGTACCACAGTGCGATGACACTCGAGCTGCGCTGCTCCTTTAAATCTTCATGTCCGTCCTACTGATCTTGTTACGGACACAGGTGTCAATTGTCTGATTCACAGAATCCTTTATTAGGCAAGAGAGTGCCAGTGTTTCATCAGCCAGTTCAGCCAATAGGTTAAACTGTGTGTTTTTGTGTAAAATGTATGTATGAAAACACAAAGAAAGACAGTTTGTCCTCTTTGGTTTGTTTTGAAAAAATGCTGGATCGTATTCTCTCGGGGCCGCAGATACACATCTCGTGTTTATTTGATAATGTGCTGTTCTCAGATCAGATCTGTGGCCAGAGGTTGTTCTGTCCTGTGCTGCCTCCTGAGGTGATCGCTCTAATATTAAGTCTCACATCTGGGATAAGTTTTTAACATTTTGCTTAATCTGCCTTGAGTGAGTCACCAGATTAAAATTCTCCTTACAGGATTTGAGATAATAATAGAACTCTGAAGTTCACAGTGCACTGTTGTTTCTTAATCAAATTAAACTACTGCAATTTTTTTTGAAAATAAAACCAGTTTCTGTGTGCACCTGGGGGTGGGTTTTCTTATCTGACGTTCATCTCTCCAGTGGTTAATTTGTGGGTGGGTTTTGTAGACACAGGAACTGCTTGATATTGTACTATTGTGTCCAAATTCAGCATAAAATATGTATTTAACTTTCCCCCCCTGTGACTGTGACAGTGCCTCTCCTTACTCAAACGTACGCCAGGATTGAAGTGTGGCAGTTAGCCTTTTATTATTGTTTGTTCAAAAAGGTGAGCAAGAGAGAGAGACGTGGAAAAGAAAAGATGGTTCAGCAAGCTCCCTTAGAGAGGAGAGTGTGCATCAATATAAGTGACCGACTGTCTACCGTCTGCAGCCCGTGGCCTAGTGCTTAGGGGATTGTATAAATCTGTGCAACTTCCCCACTTTTGCAATAAAAAGATAAAGTAGAAATGAAAAATAATTTGACGTGCCTTCTGGCCAGGCGCCCCCTGATTTTGGAAACCACTTCCTTTTGGGATTATGAGTATTTCGTAATCCCTTCCTACTTCAGTATAAAAATTTAGTTAATGTTAGCATGAAACTGAGACATTGTTATCTTGACTGTGTTGTAGTTTGTATTGAGAAAAACCCGTGATGAGACGGATCAGATCATATTCCACTGTAGCTGCATCTATAGATCAGGTTCGCCCTCGTCAGCTGTTGGTTTGTCACTGTGGGCATGAGAGAAGAATGAAGGTGTGATATCCTAATCCTAAACAGCTCCAGGAAAGATGCAGAGTAAACTGTAAACTAAGGATTAGAGAAGGGAAACAACAACGTGGAAATACACAACTAACATCTGTCAACATGGAAACAGATTCAAAGTCTTCTGAGCACATGGACGACAGAGGATTAACAGAAATCCAGAAGCTACTGTAACATTTCAACATCCATCTACCTCCGTATATTAACCCTCTAAACAAAAGATCCCTGATGACAGTAACATTTATGGCCACTGTTCTGTGAGTCACTTTGGCAACCATTTCCTCTAATTAACAATGTAAATAAAAAAGCAGCCTGGTTTTAATCGCTTCAGTGACTTCTTCAACGAGCAGTCAGTTTAACTTTCTAATAAATACGGCCTAATTCCTCTGATGCAATCTCTGCTCTTCGCTCTTGTGTATTCCGTTTTGCAGACGAGTGGTGAGAAGGTGAGTCGGTTGAGTTTGGTCGACTTGGCGGGAAGTGAACGAGCAGCAAAAACAGGAGCAGCCGGAGAACGCCTGAAGGAGGGAAGCAACATCAACAAGTACGCAAAACCAGTTTAACTCCAACTCATAACCATTTACTCTCACGTTTACTTTTACTTTACTTTAACTCCAACTCATAACCATTTACTCTCAGGTTTACTTAAACTTTAAACCCCGGCAGCGTCATATTAACCTCTGACTGTTCTACATTCTTTTGACGGTGTTCTTTTACAACTAACACAAACATACATGGTGGTGTATTTTCAAATTAACTCTCCTTAAGGTGACACAATCTTGACTCAAATTTTAAAAAAAGATTGTGTCATTGGTTTGACTTTATACCCTTGTATTTAAAAGGTCTCTGACGACTCTGGGTCTGGTGATCTCTGCACTGGCTGAACAGGGAACTGCAAAAAACAAGACCAAGTTTGTCCCATACAGAGACTCTGTTTTGACATGGCTGCTGAAGGTAAATACTCCATAATACTGCACCAACACATCAGAGAGAGAGAGAGAAGTCAAATGTGTCTCCTAGTTGTTGTAAAAGTTTTGGTTTTAAGTTTTGTCTTTTCTATTTTTCCAGGATTGTCTGGGTGGCAACAGTCGCACAGCGATGGTTGCGACTGTGAGTCCATCAGCTGACAATTATGAGGAGACACTGTCCACGCTGCGCTACGCAGACAGAGCAAAGAACATCGTCAACCACGCCGTGGTCAACGAAGATCCCAACGCCCGCATCATCAGGGAGCTGCGAGAGGAAGTGGAGAAGCTACGAGTACAGCTGACACAGGCAGAGGTGAGATTTTTCAAAATGTCACAAGAGCGTTGTGTGATAGTGCTCGTCTACCTCGGCTTCATCTGCTGCGTTCCTTCTCCAGTCTTTGAAGGCTCCGGAACTGAAGGATCGCCTGGAAGAATCTGAGAAGTTAATTCAAGAGATGACCGTCACATGGGAGGAGAAACTCCGCAAAACTGAGGAGGTTGCACAGGTTAGGAAAAAAAATATGAAAATGTTAGATAATTGAATTGAATAAGATGATTGAATGAATTGTAAAATAAAAAAAACTGTATGTATATGTGTGTTTTAAGGAGCGTCAAAAGCAGTTGGAGAGTCTGGGAATTTCTCTCCAGTCCTCAGGGATTAAAGTCGGGGAGGACAAGAGCTTCCTTGTCAACCTTAATGCTGATCCTGCTCTTAATGAACTGCTAGTCTACTACCTGAAGGTACAAACTTTATTTGTTAATATATTTTTATTCTCTGGGCGAGGAGTTTACTGTCCACACCTGATGATCTCTCATGGCTCGTAATGTCCTGCAGCAAACTGACATAAATGATATGGAATATATATTTTATTATAAACTAAATAAAACAATGTGATCCATAGAGCTTCCTTGTCAACCTTAATGCTGATCCTGCTCTTAATGAACTGCTAGTCTACTACCTGAAGGTACAAACTTTATTTGTTAATATATTTTTATTCTCTGGGCGAGGAGTTTACTGACCACACCTGATGATCTCTCATGGCTCGTAATGTCCTGCAAACTGACATGGATGATATGGGATATATTTTTAATGATAAACTACTAAAACAAATGTGATCCATAGTCAGGATGATACAGTAAATGCTTTTTTTTTTTTATCTCCCCCAAAAAGGAACACACAAAGGTGGGCTCAGCAGACTCTCAGGATATCCAGCTCTGTGGGATGGGTATCCAGGCAGAACACTGTGTTATTGACATCACAGCTGAGGCTGCCGTGATCCTCACCCCATATCGCAATGCTCGGTAAGTGACAAAATAAAAGAGAACAGATTTGCAGCTCCTCTGTTGCACAAAATAAATCCTGATTTTTTAAATTTATTTAGTTGCACAAAATAAATCCTGATTTTTTTCTTTTTTTCTTTTACTTGTGATAGGACTTGTGTTAATGGCTCCCCAGTAACCAGTGCTCTGCAGCTTCACCATGGTGATCGAATCCTTTGGGGAAACAATCACTTCTTTAGGTAACTTCAAACCTCAAAGGCTTGAACCTTGTTGAGATGATTAAAAGTTCTGTGTGTTAAGCAAACTAGGAAATTGAACATTTGATTTAATTTACCTACAGGATTAATCTTCCCAAGCGGCGGTGCCGGGGAGGAGAGGATGAGGAGGGTGAGGGTGGTTTGATGAAGAACAGCGGCAGTAATGAGCAGCTGGATGCAGACGGTGACACAGCCAGTGAAGTGTCCAGTGAAGTCAGCTTCTCTTATGAGTTTGCACAAACAGAGGTCATGATGAAAGCCCTCGGCAGTAATGGTGAGGTGGCAGTAAAAATGTCAATATTTCTGCGCACAGCTTAAATATCAGACTTTCTTTGAGGGACATCCGTTCCTGACTCCTCTGTGTGTTTTCTACTTCCAGACCCCATGCAGGCAGTCCTCCAGTCCCTGGAGAGGCAGCACGAGGAGGAGAAGCGCACAGCCCTGGAGCGTCAGCGGCAAATGTATGAGCAGGAACTCCAGCAGCTTCGCAAGAAGCTGAACCCGGACCGTCTGTCTGTGGGCCCCTCTGGAGCCCCGGTGCCTGGACAGGGGCAGCAGTACAGGAGCACGGAGAGACTCAGCATGGGGGGGATGAGCCATTCAGCCAGTGCCCAGAGCAGACTGAGGCAGTGGACTGAGGACAGGTGAGGGGTGTCAGCGTGTTGTATACATTAGTCCAGTGGTTCTCAAACTGTGGTACGCATACCACCAGTGGTACGCGAGCGCTCTCTAGTGGTACATGGGGAAAATTCATATTTTCCTATTTACATTTTCAGTTGAATAAATCTGAAACATGCCATGCACAATTAATACAGCATTTAGAGAAATGTGTAGCTACTTATGAGATTATGAAATAGGATGTCTGGTACTTATTGATCACTTGAAAGTTGAATGTGGAATGAGCAGGGGAATTCTAATGTTGGTTCATCAAGGTGGTGCTCAGAGAGCTCAGTGTTTTCTCAGGTGGTACAGAGGATAACACAGTTTGAGACCCACTGCATTAGTCAAAGCTAATTAACACTCGTTTCTGATGTTGTCTGCAGGGAGGCAGTGTTGGTGAACAGCCTGAGGAGGTTGAGGGAGCAGATAGTGAAGGCAAACCACTTGGTGCAGGAAGCCTGCTTTATCTCTGAGGAGCTGGAGCGACACACAGAGTACAAAGTCACTCTCCAGATCCCATCTGATAACCTCAACGCAAACCGAAAGGTCACACACACACACACACACACACTCATACACACACGAACACATGTAAATATCCTACCTTACGCCAACCTTCATCTAATGTTTTTTTTGTTTTGTTTTTGTTTGTGTGTTTAGAGAGATGCTGTGCTCAGTGAGCCAGCAATTCAGGTGCGACGACGTTGCAGAGGGAAACAGATCTGGAGTTTGGAGAAGATGGAGAACCGTCTGGTGGACATGAGGGAGTTGTACCAAGAATGGCAGGACTATCACCAGAACCACAATGATAACCCAGTCAGTGAACATACAGCACAGCACATGTGCAATGGCACAAAAACAGGCACATGATAACAAGCCCTGTTTTTTTTTTCAGGTGATGCGCTCATACTTCCGCCGAGCCGACCCGTTCTTCGACGAACAGGAGAACCATTGTTTGATTGGTGTGGCCAACGTGTTTCTCTCCTGTCTCTTCTATGACGTGAAGCTGCAGTACGCTATTCCCATTATTAACCAAAAGGGAGAGGTAAGACGTCATATTACTGTTATTTCTTTCTACACGTTCACTCACCTTTTCAGTCAGACGAAAACCTTTTTCCTTGTTTCCTTGTTTTTTTCCATCTTAATCCACTGTGGTGCATTTTGCTGTCGGAGTTTAACAGTATAATCAATGCAGGAACCATTCGTTACAGTGATTGGGTTGTGTTTCCACAGTCAGTGTCATGTTCAATTATTGCATTTGTGTCATTAGTAGAGAGTCAGAAGACATCAAGGTCAAGATAGTTGCATAGATGTACTAATTGATCCTAAAAAGTGGAAATTAATTTGTCGTAGAACAACAGTATGAAAACACAAAAGAAAAAACAATCAACGGAAGAATAAAAGACGTGAAAGTGCTGTAGAAAGAACACGATCAATAATGATGAGTGTGTACAAAGTGAACCTGCACAGCCCTATATTAGGATACAGGATAATGTTCCTGTTATTGTCTATCGGACACTGTATCGCAGTGCGTTCAGAAAAGACACTGAGACACTAGGTCAAAAGTGGTTTGAATCTTTATAGCAGCTTCGATGACCCTCAAAGACACAGCCTCAGTATCCAAACTTTGATTTCCTGTGCTGATTGTAAAAGTTTCCAATTATTGTGTTTCACTGCTCCCAGGTTGCAGGACGTCTCCATGTGGAGGTGGTGAGGGTGGGAGGAGGCCTGGAGGACAACATAGCCGGGGGAGACGAAGTAGACAATAACCAGGACACTGAGATTCAGGATCGTAAACTTGTGTGCATGGTAAGGAGAAATAATCAGCAGGGTGTTGACGTTTGTTCAATTAAAATTACGATGAATAAATGTAATTCAAGAGCCTGGACTTCTGTATTTTCTACAGATTAAGATCCTGCAGGCCACAGGTCTCCCCCAGTTCCTGTCCAACTTTGTCTTCTGTCAGTACTCCTTCTGGGACCAGCCTGAGCCAGTCATTGTGGCTCCTGAAGTTGACCCCGCCTCCTCATCACCCAGCACCAAGGACCCACACTGTATGGTGGTGTTTGACAGCTGCAAGGTAGAGACAGACAGTACAAAGACGATCTTAAGATTTTTTTTTTTTTTTTTTAATTCTGTTAACGTTGTGTGTACAGTACTAGTCGTATTTAACAGTAGTAGAGAGTGACCTTTAATAGATTGAATGTGAATGTGTTTTTGTTTTTTTATTTGCCGTAGGAACTGGCTGTGTCGGTGACTGAAGACTTCATCGAGTACCTGACAGAGGGAGCAGTGGCCATCGAGGTTTATGGACACAGGCAGGCAGACGCTGGCAGAAACCCGGCCCTGTGGGACCTCAGCATCATCCAAGCCAAGACCAGAACACTACGGGACAGGTAGAGCCACAGTAACACACAACACACACACACACTGTGTAGACAAAGTTAGAAATAGTATTGCAGCACTAGCCTGCGTCCAGCGTGGACCTGGCTGTAGTCTGTTTTTCAACTTTTCAGGATAAATAAACACACCTCAAATTTTTCTTTTTTTTTTTTTTTTTTTTGCAGATGGAGTGAAGTAACACGTCGCCTGGAATTGTGGATTCAAATCCTGGAGATAAATGAAAATGGAGATTTTGTCCCAGTGGAAGTGGTTCCTGCCAGAGACGTACGGACTGGGGGGATCTTTCAGCTTCGACAGGTCTGGACAGTCACTACAGCAGTGGGTGGAGAAACGAAACTCTGGTCTTAATTTTGGAGTTTTTAATTTAATTATTTTTTTCTTCTAAAGGGTCAATCGCGGAGAATCCAGGTGGATGTGCGTTCGGTGCAGGACTCGGGCACGATGCCTCTCATATCAGAGATTGTGCTGGCAGTGTCAGTAGGCTGTGTGGAAATCAGGACCTCTGCTACAGACCAGGAAGCAGATGAGATGGACAGTTATCAGGTACAAGTACAAGTTTAATTTTGCGTTTTCTTTCCTTCTTGTCACGTCGCAGTGTATTGGAGCAGAGGCTGTAAGGTGACTTGTTTGTTGAACAGGAACGAGACCTGGAGCGTTTGCGCAGACAGTGGCTCGCTGCTCTCACCAAGAGACAGGAATACCTGGACCAGCACCTGCAGACCGTAGTCAGCAAATCAGGTAAGGCCGACTTACATCGGTATATATTTATGTACACATCAGAAGGCTAATACACTAATATTATCTTAAACTTGATCTTATAATATAATCGAATCGATTTTGGTTGTTTTGATGTGGTGTTTTTTGTTGGGGGTTTTTTTACAGAAAAGTCAGAGGATGACATGGAGAGAGAGGCTCAGCTGCTTGAGTGGCGGTTAACATTGACAGAAGAGAGAAATGCCGTTATGGTGCCCTCTGCTGGCAGTGGCAGTCCTGGAGCACCTGCTGAATGGTAGGACATGGGGCTGCAAGGATTCTGGTG